TAAAACTTTTACAAATAGCATGAATTATGATTTTTGTTTTAAGCGCTGCCTTCTTGAGTGTAATTTTACTACAGCAAAACATAGCTTATATCAGATAGATGACTACTACAGATGTTAGGTTATTATTATAGCAGACAGAAATACATGAAAATTGAAGTCTTCAAACAATTCAATTCCCAAGGTGTCCTTATTTCAGTACCAAACTGAACACCAGCTTTAACTGTTTTAGGAATATCAGCAACTTGCACTCCTTTCTATTTATTTATAGTCAGTAACACTCCATTATTTTAAAAGTTAAGTCAAAGCAGTTAGTGACTGAATTCTCTCACAGAAAGAAAAATGGAAGATTTTTTTTAATCTTTTTCAAAGATTCCAGACTTGCTTTACTTGTCTGTTGCTAACTCAACTAAAATAAACAAAAACTACTATTAAAAACATACTGAGCACGCGATCAGAATGAAGGAAAAAGGCAAACTGATTAATGTTTCACATCTGAAGTCATTTCCTTGCACCTGCAGCTCCCATCTAGGAAAAATACTGCAACCACCACTGAAAACAAGACTAGTATTCAGAACATGGGCAATTATTTTAACTGGGTTTACTCTCCCTCATAGCTACAATTCCTAAAGCTGAGAACTTTTACAATTATTTTGGACAAGGTGTAAGTACAACATTATGATATTTAAACCTACCATTTGTACCTCTATTTATTTTAAATCTTTCATTCATTTAAACACTGACAGCATGTTTGTTCAAAAGGGAACTTGAATAATAAACTTTGCAGTAACTTGACTTCATTACTTCTGCATTTGCAATTCCTGCTGTGATTGCTTATCTGCAAATACTAGACACTAACATAAACATAATCCTTAAGATTTCTTATGAAAAAATGTAAATGCATTTACAACTGGTTATAGCCCTATCATTTCTGCATCCCCTTTGCAGTTTTTACATAGTGACCAAACAACAGGATGATGTTAAAATCCTGTTCCCAGCAGCTTCCATGGGAGGTGGATTTAGGCTGCTGTGAAACAAGGTAAAAGCACAAAAAGCACAAAAAGCACACAATACAAGTTATACAGTACACAGCTGTTTTTCCACCAAATTAGGTATCTTCAAATGAAGGAAAGTAGGAAACTATATTTTTTTTTACCTACATTAAGCACATACCAATGGACATATTGCATGTATTTAAACAAAAAGTAACCTAAGAAACCTGAAATAAAAGCATGACTTAATCTTGCTTGCAAAATTAAAAACACTGAACAATGTTTTTAACCAATAACCAGAACGGTTGTTTCTAAGTGCAGAAACAAGATACAGTATTTCATCTTACAAGACTGAAGTTAGGTACACTACAGATTAACATTTCATAGTAGAGTGTTGGACAGAGGAAGAAGTCTCTAGTGGATATGTAGTTCAATTGCAATGCAATCTAGCTACCATGACTAATAGTATAAAGTGCTAAGACGTTTTGCAGCATTTAATCAGTCTACTGACACACCTCACCTCACATCAACCAGGAGCAACAAGCATCCTTCTTACCACCAGATTTAAACAATGGGCTGCTTCTTACAAATTCTGCTTTCAGTCCGTTTCTCCATGTGTAATAGCAAAGCATCATATTTATGATTTTGGATATCATAATGTAGACAAGGCTCATATAGTCACTGTCATTTTCCACACTATGCCAAATATAACCACTCAAGGTCTCAATAACATGGTTCAGGAAACAGCTGCACCAGTGGAAACATTAACTCCCTTACCACCGCAGATGTTCCTCCACAGAGTAAAACTGCTGCAGTAAAGCTACTATGCCTAACTTCAGGTTAACTTGACATACAAAATACTCTACAGTTCTGTGAGCTATCTGTAAGATACATGGGCATACATCTCACCCCAAGAGACTGAGACAAAATATCAAGCACACAAGCAAAGAATCCCTGTGGCTAGAAGAAATGGGAAAGAGTTAGATCCCATTCCCTCAAAAAATCACAGGCCCTTATTCTGCATTGCAAGGAGACATATATCACCATCCTGAATCCCCTCGGAGATTTTAACCGCAACTCAAGAAAAGACAGACTTCAGCAAAGAAACTGCTTTCAGAAATGTATTCCTCCTCCTCCTCTCTTCCCCTACCCCTCACTCTCACCACACTGATCTTCTAGTGATACCAAATATTTGTTATGCTGTTTCTTTTGTTCCAGGCTTGGTTTTAACCATGATGCGTTCAGACACCCCCATCAATGGTTGTTTTTACAGCATTACCGAAGCAACAAGCAACAGTGCCATGGCACAAGCTGGACCCATCACCAATGAGGAGATTCCTAGAACTTTGGTTTTGGAGAAATATGTCATTCCGTTCTCAAAATAAAAACACTGGAGAACAAGACAGTCTCTCTTTTAACACTACAGCCAGTGGTTACAGAACATTTTCAGAAAGACTTAGGGGGAGGTAGATTTGTATTTATAACCCCAGTTGGGCTCTCTGCATAACAGACGGTATGAGATACTGTGGTCTGACTTGCTTAATGTTTTCTTTTGAAGCTATTCCACTTTGCAAGGAGTAATTATATACCATTTACGTCAGGAAGAGAACAACTAAGTGTAATTCAAGTGATTTAAGTGCTAGACCACTCTCCATCATCTTTACCAAGTCTTGGGAAACAGGAGAGCTGCCTGAGGACTGGAGGAAAGCAAATGTCACTCCAGTCTTCAAAAGGCAAGGAGGACCCTGGGTAACTATAGACCAGTCAGCCTCAGCTCCATCCCTGGGAAAGTGATGGAACACCTTATCCTTGGTGCCATCTTAAGGCATATCAAGGATAAGAGGGTTATGAGGGGCAGTCAACATGGCTTCACCAAGGGTCAGTCATGCTTGACCAATCTCGTAGCCTTTTATGAGGAAATAACACAGTGGATGGATGATGGCAGGGCGGTGGATGTGGTCTACCTTGACTTCAGCAAAGCATTTGACACGGTCTCCCACAGCATCCTCACAGACAAATTGAGGAAGTGTGGTCTGGATGATCGGGTAGTGAGGTGGACTGTGAACTGGCAGAAGGAGAGAAGACAGAGAGTTGTAGTTTATAGTGCGGAGTCTAGCTGGAGGCCTGTATCTAGTGGAGTGCCTCAAGGGTCGGTACTGGGACCAGTATTATTTAATATATTCATCAATGATTTAGATGAGGGAATTGAGTGTACTATCAGCAAGTTTGCTGATGACACTAAGCTGGGAGGGGTGGCCGACACGCCAGAAGGCTGTGCTGCCATCCAGCGAGACCTGGAGAGGCTGGAGGGTTGGGCGGGGAATAACTTGATGAAATATAACAAGGGAAAGTGCAGAGTCCTGCATCTGGGCAGGAACAACCCCAGGTTCCAGTATAGGCTGGGGAATGACCTGTTAGAGAGCAGTGTAGGGGAGAGGGACCTGAGCGTCCTAGTGGATGACAGGATGGCCATGAGCCGACACTGTGCCCTTGTGGCCAAGAAGGCCAGTGGCATCCTGGGGTGTATTAGAAGGGGGGTGGTTAGTAGGTCGAGAGAGGTCCTCCTTCCCCTCTACTCTGCCCTGGTGAGACCGCATCTGGAATATTGTGTCCAGTTCTGGGCCCCTCAGTTTAAGAAGGACAGGGACCTGCTGGAGAGAGTCCAGCGCAGGGCAACTAAGATGATTAAGGGAGTGGAGCATCTCCCTTATGAGGAAAGACTGAGGGAGCTGGGTCTCTATAGTTTGGAGGAGATTGAGGGGTGACCTTATTAGTGTATATAAATATATAAAGGGGGAGTGTCACGAGGATGGAGCCAGGCTCTTCTCAGTGGCAAACAATGATAGGACAAGGGGTAATGGGTACAAACTGGAACACAAGAGGTTCCACTTAAACTTGAGAAGAAACTTCTTCTCAGTGAGGGTGACGGAACACTGGAACAGGCTGCCCAGGGAGGTTGTGGAGTCTCCTTCTCTGGAGACATTCAAAACCCGCCTGGACATGTTCCTGTGTAACCTTATCTAGGTGTTCCTGCTCCGGCAGGGGGATTGGACTAGATGATCTTTTGAGGTCCCTTCCAATCTCTAGCATACTGTGATACTGTGATTAACATATGCAGTTGGACATAGGAGGATAGATTCATATTCCTAATTCAACATTACTTTTTACATCCAAGGCTTTACCAGTCTAGGAAGAAATCCTGTCCTATGAGAACAACTGCTCTTTAGATAGGGCTGCTACTGCATGGTATCACTGTCAGAGAAGGTCTGCTGAAAGAAAGAAGCAGAACATCTTAAACATCCTAAAAGGATGTTTCCTTCAGTAACAAAATGCCTAGGAAACATGTGAGTATGGACCATGGTGAGGGAACCTATACAGAGGCTGTGACAAGACTGTGATACAGGTGGGTGTCATGTCAGTGATGGGGACATCACTCTCTGACTTAATGAGAAAGAGAATGTCGTGCTCATCAGAAAGACTGAAGTTACAAGCACTGAATGAAACAGCATGCAGAGAATCAGAAATACAATGTGCACACACTGTTATGATGTGTAGAAGTTTTCAGTTGCATTCCTACTCTGTATTTCTTCTCTGTCAGGAACAGAGAACTATCAAGGAAAAGGCTGACTGATCGCAACCAAAACCGATGAGCTAAAAGACTACAGGAGACAATTCCAGTACAGTAAATGACCCTGTCTTTAAGAACAGCAGCACCTACGAGCACTGACCTTTCAAAGCATTAAGTTTAAATAAAAAAAAACCCAAATACTAAAATCACCCACTGTTTATATTAACAGATACTAGTAGGGTATCCAGTTTATGTATCACCCTAAAAAAAACTGTTCTGCCCTCTAGCAGGTAGGAATTTTACCAGTATTGCCAAGTCACAACTGCCTCTCTCTTTTCACCACAGACAGAAGTGGAGTTTTACACAGTCAAACCAAAAGTTTAGGCAATTTGTTTTGTTGGGCTTTTTTTCCAGAAAGTGTAGAGCAACCCCGAGCACAGTACCTGAGAAAGGACAAGTTGTCCATGGAATTTATGGACAAATTTTCGTAAAGATGAAAGGAATGAAGCCTCTCCTATTGTCCTTGCCAGAGACCGCAAAAGGAAGTAACCCTGCAAATTAAACCAGGAACAAATAGGATGCTATGAATTTGTTCGTGTCTAAAAAAAAGAAGCCTTTACCATATTAGTAAAGCAATTTAATTAAAAAACAGCTGACAACACTCACCTTTAAGTAGTGAACCTGCATGAAGACTTTTTCTGCTTTAAGACCATGTTTGACAACGGATGCTCCAGACTCGCTTGTTTCTCCTGTGCTCTCTTTTTTGGGCCTAAAATGGTAACGGGGTAATTAAGTCTTGGAGAAGTAAATAAAGAAAGTACTCACACATTGCACATTCTTGTAGTTGAAAGCCTTGTGAATGGCATAGTAAGTTTAGACACCTGTAACTAGTTCAGTCTTTTTCTTTACCCTAAGTAAACAACGTTGCTTAGACAGACAAACACATTTCAGACTTTTAATGAAATTTTGTACATAGGTGACCAGACAGCTGGGTTACAAAAGAAATACATCACTATGTTGGTGTACCCTTTTCAGGGCTAGCATGGCATCACACTGCATGCCATTGTACAGTGCAGACTCACTATGAACAAAGAAAAGCAAACAAAAAGAGGAGAATGAGAAAGGGAAGTAGAAGGAAAAAGGGAGAGTGGAGAGAAAAGGGGAAAAGGAAATGGGAAGATGAAGCAAAAAGGGAAGGGGAAGATATTGAAGTCATTATGTTCAAGTAGAATTTTCTCTTCTTATACCTAAACATTGGTTTAATAGTTTACACAACTATACTTGCAAGAATCACCTCTTTCAACTGTGTGCAGAAGAAATACCCACAGCAGTAAAGTGTGGACGACTTCTAGACTTTTATTAACACAGAGTGAAGCTAAACAGACACTATGAAAACATTTTTTGCTTCATTTGTAAGCAGTGCCTTCACAGTCATAGTACTCAAGACCCCGACAGCTTACTTTCTTCCATCCAGAAAATGTTGCAGCTGACAGTGGTCTGAGAACAGTTGTCTATCCTAGGAGCCTAACCCTGTGACTGAAGCAATCTTCCCAGTTCTAAGTGTGGATTCTGAAATGGCCGGTCTTGGAAACCAAACATCTTTCCTCCCAATTCTCCAGAATAGGGGCAACATAGGCTACAGCAGTGCAGGATTCTTCAAAGCACTGATACACTTCTCATGAGCTAATCTCTGTGATCAAATGTATATCTATGTCTGCTTTGAGGAAAACATTCTTCCATTTTAGTATCTGTGCAATGGTTTCCCATTAGTTTTGTCCAGAGCGCGAAGCTGGATTTTTTTCACTCTTTAGGCACTATATTTAGGATGTGTGCAGATGAAACCCACATCACAGTAAAAGCTTGATCAAATACAACTGTTTGAAATAAAATAGAAAAAATAAAAGCAGATTCAATTTTACACTGTTCCTAACAAATGCCTTTAACATGCTATAGTTCGTATTTTCTTTCAACATTGAAAGGAGGAGATCAATAACTGATTTCTAATACTGTGGTAGCAGACAATGTAATCATTGCAGACCCACTGCAGGATAGCAGAGGTCCACCTGTTTCCATTCTGGATCAGCCTCCTAGAAGGAAGGCCTGCTGGCAACTTTTCATTGTTCTCTGCAAGTATAAAAAGCCCAAACTGCTTCATTTCTCCCATAATAAACAGGCCAGTCAACAGACTTTGAAAAACGGAGTTTCAGCATGGGCTACAGGATCCACACTAAATTGAAATACCTCCCATAATCATAATTGTTCTAAATTAGGGAACCATACTTCCTTCCTCCTCCAAATTTGTGACTCTGTAGATACTAGCAGGTGAATGGAACAGTATCCCATCTGCGTGACTGTACGCAAGAATTTCATTTTGCAAAGGGTGCATATATATACCCCTGATAATGTCTGCAAAAGAATAAATATTCAGGAATTTATGTTGTACATATTTATGTCAGTACTTCAGTACACTATTTTAAAGCAATGGTTGGTATATTTACAACACATTGAAGGCAGAGACTGGAGGTGTGTTACACTGACCCAGAAAACCTGGCAACTAACCCAGTAGATGAAGCTAGGCATAATGTTAAAGGCAAGCTGATATAAAGTAATCGAGCTGCTACGTGGCACATTTTACATACTGGAAAATTTCTGAAGGAAGCAGGAATTTTGTTTGCCAGGCTAAGAAGTACATTGAAGAAAGTAAAATCACAATTCACCAGGAAGTACTTCATAATTAAATGCTCTGATGCATTAGGTAGTCCTGAAAATCTACACAGAGACTACAAGAAACCATCTGAAAGGTGAGTTTCCTGTGTGATATCTGTGTCCATCTGTGTGATAGAATAAAACTCTTTAAATCCCTACAGAGTAGTCAGAGAGCATTGTTCAAGAGGGAAATACACTTGACTCAAGTGGAACTCAAAGACAAATTGAGAGTTAGATATTAACACTGGTTTGTCTTAAGGAAGAATCATGAGCTGAAGTTCAGTCTTATGGGCCAGGACATGAAACAATCTCAACATCAGCTTTATTCCACAGAACAAAATAGACTTCTCTAGTTTTTGCTGTCATAATGTGAGACATTGGATGAGAGTGATGAATTTGCCAGCAGAGTAAGTGCCAGCACATACTTCACAGGTGCTTTTATACATGCAGATTTCCTTCAAACTCTGAGAAATCACACAGGATTCTGCCTGATGTCTTATCCTGTATGAGCACTACAGTGCCACAAACTTCTTCTTCCAAGCCAAGAACTGCTGGTGCTGCCTTTCAGAGCTGCTGCCTGCTGAAAAGACACTTATCTATTTCTTTCATACATGACTTCTTTTTTTCACAGGAAACTCCTGCGATGCTGCTATAATGTAATGCCAAATATCCACAATAAGAAGAACCACCATGCTGATGATCAGTTTGCTGAGTGGCTTTCACCTAGTCTGAACAGGCAAATCACAAAAAATCATGATTTCTCAGCAGGCAACAAAAAACTAATTGAAGATTAAGTTTATGCTTGAAAAGAACAGGTTGACTGATTTTTTTTTTTTAATTCCTGACATAATTGGCAAGAAATAACAAACTCTTATCATTTATTTTTAATATTCTGGCATAAAAACACAAGCTTGAACCAGCACAAGTCCCAGTACAGACTCAAAAACCAGTGCAATGCCAAGATTAGAATTTTCTCTCTCATAGACAACCTCTGGAAAGCACATGCATATCCTTTCAAAAGGGGAAGGAAAGAAAAAAAAACCACAAAAAAACAGTAAACATGCAAAGAGAGAACTCTCTCCATTCAACTCCATGCCACAAAAATAGTAAAGAATATTTATATCTGACTGAACCAGTGGTAAGTCCTTAAATGCAACCACACAAAACTAAAGATAGCAAAAAGGAAGAGATTGCTAGGATCCTGAGCTGGTATCATGTTCTGCTACTGAAGTGTACATTAGAAGCATATTTTTCAAACAAGAAATGATATGTCATTCTTTTGTATTAGCACTGAGAATACCACTATGCAAAACGTAAGCAGCATGCTTGAGACTTCTGTCTACTAACTGTGGAAGTCAATAGAAAGATTAAGTTTCAATTTCAGTATAAATCAATCCTTCCTGAGTTTCAAGCTGCAAAGGATATTTTGGCCCTTTGAAAGATGATTTTAAAAATTTACACCACACAGACATTTTATTAAAAGTAGCAACTACATAATTAGCAGAGAAGACAAATGTGGTTTCATAACCTTGAAAATGGAAAATATACCTTGAGATAAGCCTCATATCACAAGAACCAGTGTTTCTAAAAACAAATCTATTTTAAAACAAACAAAACCTCCAGCATCTGTCAATCAGCAGGTGTATTGGCAGCTGCTCCACGACAGCTTGTGATAAAACCTGCTTTTGTATTTACACCTACCATCAAATCGCACAATTACAAATGTATAATTTCACTGACTCTGCTTATACGTAGGATACACAATTAACTGACAGACATGAAGTAAAACAGATCAATGAAAGACTACACAGCTGGTGACATTTTCAGATTAGATGAGGCCACAGAGAGGAGTTTCTATGTTGGTGAACAATCTCTATCGCCCAAAACTAAAAGGCTTTTAGGTCCTATGGGAAAAGCACAAAAAGAAACAAAGATCTCAACTTGAATGAAATGGCAAAAGTCTTCTAAAACCATGTAAAAGATGATCATACAGAGGATGGGGACCAATTCGTTCTTCACTTCTACTTGGTGAAAGAAATTAAGAAAATTACATTTTTTGAAATTAACTGTATTTCAGCTGTGCAGTTTTAATTGTTAACACTAAGAACAGCTTACCCAGGAACCATGGAAACTTTTTTATTGAAGGCTTCTGAGAAAATGTTAGATAAGACCTGATCGAAATGGTCTGTGTATACTGCCTCTGTCTTAGGGTAGGAGAACGGTCTACATAATCTCTTGAAATCTGTCCCTGTAATTCCATTATTTGACCAAAGCTAATCTCAGCTAGGATTAGTAAACTTGCATTTTTTGGTTAAAGACTGCGGGCAGACAAGCAGTGGAGATGTTAGGCAGCCACTCAAGGCGAAAGCATATGGCAAATTCCTATGACACCAATCAGCACAGCCCAGATTACTTATCATTAGCAAAGCAAGAAGCTTTTTGGATCAAATGACTTTAGCTATGTAAGAAGAAGATTTGAGCTCAGCACCTGGTACCTAAAGACCAAATTCTTGTTTAAATATGATTATTACTCATTTCTATAAATAAATAAATAAATAAATAAATAATTGAAGTAGATTTGTATAGTTCATTATACTTTTTCCCCTCTTTTTAATTTTCATTCAGTTTGGCAGTTAGATATCATACTCCAGTATGTGCTTGTCTTCAGCCACAGAAAATGAATCTGTTACAGCTTCAAACAGTGAAGTGTGTCAGGAAATGGCCTTTTTTATTTTCCTGAATAAAGGTTCTTGTAAACTGCTTAGAGACATTTTATATCAAACTAAATCCCACAGTTTTTGAAAGCATTCTATAACAAAGAGAAAAGCAACTGCAGAATTATAGAGAAGACAAATAACCTAGTCAATTTAATTTCAGTTTTCTTTTTTTCTTCAGAGGAAATAAGGAAATGTAGTAGATTTAATCAGATTATTTGGATGTATATCCTTTGAAAGGAGAAACTGGTGGACAACAGTAGAGACAGAATATGCAAAAGCAGAAATTAAACTGTCATACTGTTACCTTAAAACTTGCAGCTCTTCTTCAGAGTTCTGCACCTCATCTCTGAGTCGGCGCCAGCGAAGTAAAGCTTTCAATTCCTGCTGCTCTTTTACTTCCTCATGTGACAGCTGCTTAGTATACAAAAAACACTGATCACCAATTGCTGTTTCCCAACAGACAATAATAATTTTCAGAAAGACAAACTTGTTTTGTTTCCCTTTAATGCGCAGAAGCTGCAGGAAACAGTACCTATATCCATGTTAAAAAGCCCCAACAAAACAAAACCCAAACAACAAAACCAAAACATAACAGTTGCTGCTATGAGAGTTAATAGCAGCACTAAGGCAAACAGAAGCCTCACTGTGTGCATCAAATCAATAGTCAGTTAAATAGTTCTGCCTGAGGAGAGAGATGGGCATGTTGTTTTCCCTTCTGTGACTGGCAATAAGTGAACTGAATGTACAGCACAGATACCTGGCAATTTTGGTTGCATCTTTACTTTTTCCCAGCTTGAAAGAAAAGAGCTGCTTTGTATCCTGACTTCACTCCTCCTTCCTATTAGTTCTGTTACATTTGTGAAACCTCTCTTGTACTTTCCTCCATATACATAGCATTAACAGAGACGCATGCTTAAGAAATAAATGCCAGGTTGTCATCTTACAAATAACTGCTAATTTATATTTCTCTATTATAAGAAAAGTTGGAAGATGGGAGAAAGCAAAAGCAGCCTGCATTATCCTGCATTACACCAGTATCACAAGTGAAGTTACTGTCAGGCAGTATTGAATATACTCATAACCTTACAACTGTTCAATTGCATAATTGCACATCACCAAAACTACTCAATAAGCTAAAAAAAATTAAAAAAGGGCATTTTTCTAACCTTCAAAATTAACAAAGGCGCTAACCACCCCGTTTTGTTACTTACTCCTTTCCACTGAGCTGCATGGAAGGGCATCTACTACAATGAAAATGCTTTCAAGTGACTCACAAAAGCATAGGATTAATGGGAACAGCTCACAGCAGAGCAGTGATGCTCAAGTAAGGGCAGAAATTAGTTTTAGGACCAGAAGGGAAAAGCAGTGTTTGGACAGCCTTTGTCCCTTCCTTGTTCCAGAAACTTGGTAAGTGACCAGAAATTCTTTCTGGTTGGTGGTATAAATATTCCTGATACCTAACAGAATGGAGGTTAAATATGATATTAGTTCCTTGTCCCCACTGCTCTTCCACAGATAAGACCTCTGCAGTCTTGAGGGGCAGAACCAGAGCCTGACACAAACACAGGAACAAATGACTAACATACGAAAAGCTTGACAACAAAAATAAGAATTAGATCAGGGAACAACTTTACTGTCATGCAGTGTATGAGCTTTTCAGTTTGAGGCAGACAATGATTTCTAAGCCTCTGACATGGGGGTAAAGTTTTCCTGGGCAGTATAACAGAAAAAAAAGTGTAAGTACTCTATTAATTAGCTTCCATTTTGTTTTGAAGATTGCTTCTTGGCTATCCACTAGACAAAACCAGATCATTTCCATTAGGTACCTGGAATATTACAGTATTCAGTAAGACTGGTGATTGTTCCAGTTTCAGGAAGAGAAAACAAGTGGAAAGAATGCAAATCAACAGAGTAATACAATGGAGTAGTACATTTGTGGGAAGGTAATCACTGACAAACAGACATTTCCATTTCTATTTGCACTGACCTCTACTTCTGCAAAGATTAGTATTCACTGTGAATAAGGAAGGATTATTCTTTTTTTAATCAAGTCGGCATGCAAAATCCAGTATTATTTTAAAAGACCTGTATTCCTAACACAGGAGGTTTAATTTATATCTAATTCACAGCAGGGTATGTAATTTTGATTTCCACATAATTGAGAAGTGGTGTATCATCACCTTACCTGTTGTGCCCTAGCCCAAAATATATCTTCTAAAAAAGTGGCAAACCCTTCACTTAACCACTCTTCAGTCCAATCGCGAGCACCAATGGCCAGTCCAAACCAAGCATGAGCAATTTCATGGCACAGACGTGTTCCACAGAGCTGGCTCCCTCCTGATAGTACACTCTGTGACAGGAAGATGATGTGTGGGCTGCACAACAGAATGAGTGACAAAATACATTACTGACCTGTTATAACATGCACTACATGGCCACAATAATATATAGGCTTTACTACTCTTGTCAGCCTCTATTATTATATGCATGATTAGGTCATGACTGATAGTTTACAGCTCAGGTGCTTTTAGAAATTAGGCAGTACTTTATCGCTTTATTGTTGGTTGGCAGAGAATCAAACTAAGATTCTGCCAAGCAGTTCGTTTGTATTCAACTGTCAAACACCTATGACCTGGAAAAAGTAACTTAAAGTTTGGTATTTTTCAAATTACAAGACTGATTTATTTCAATAGAAGCATTTCATATATAAGCCAGGATAACAGAAGATGAGCAGGTGCGCATATAGGCAGCATTTATCAGTTAAATTATCAAAGCTGGAAATAAATAAAGCAGAAACTTTTTATGAAGAAAACAAATGACTATCCAAAGGCAACAAGAGTCATGTAAAGTAAAACACGTGTTTATTAGAACTTAAAACAAGCTAAAAAGATACCATTTGATGATTAGAACTGACCATTTCTGCAAATGCAGAGGAAGGAAAACATCCTTTACCACAAGCACAGAAGTCAGCAGACTCTATATTCACTAAATATCTGCTTTTCAAAACAGGGGGGAACAACCCAATCTATATCTACTCTGCTTTGGACTCAAGCATTAGGAGAAATTGGAGGGGAAAATGTTATGAATTATTGCTTTATTATATAGTTTTGATGAGAAACCTAACATGAGCCGGCTTCACTGTGCACTCGCAGCCCAGAAAGCCAACCGTACCCTGGGCTGCAGCAAAAGGAGCGTGACCAGCAGGTCGAAGGACAACGCTCTTGTGAGACCTCACTTGGAGTATTGTGTGCAGTTCTGGTGTCAACATAAAAAGGACATGGAACTGTTGGAACAAGTCCAGAGGAGGGCCATGAGGATGATCAGGGGACTGGAGCACCTCCCATATGAAGACAGGCTGAGAAAGTTGGGGCTGTTCAGCCTGGAGAAGAGAAGGCTGCATGGAGACCTCATAGCAGCCTTCCAGTATCTGAAGAGGCCTATAGGGATGCTGGGGATGGACTCTTCATTAGGGACTCTAGTGATAGGACAAGGGGTAATGGGTTAAAACTTGAATAGGGGAAGTTTAGATTGGATATAAGGAAGAAATTCTTTCCTTTTAGGGGGTGAGGCACTGGAATGGGTTGCCCAGGGAGGTTATGAATGCTCCATCCCTGGCACTGTTCAAGGCCAGGCTGGACGAAGCCTTGGGTGACATGGTTTAGTGTGAGGTGTCCCTGCCTATGGCAGGGAGCTGGAACTAGGTGATCTTAAGGTCCTTTCCAACCCAAACTATTCTATGATTGCTCTGCTACTGAAAACACACGGAATTGCAAGTTACTGCAATTCCCTTCTCATGCTCTGCTGTAAGGCATTTTCTGCTATGCTTACAGACGTTACAGACATTAACATCTCAAAAGTTACTTAATTTTTGAAAATAAGTACATCTAGGAAGGAAAAGTAGTAGAATTAAACCCTGTGACTAACGTTCATGGGATTAACAGGGCACCATGCCACAGATAGGAGTAGTGAGGACACAAATGACGACCACCATCTGCATAGTACTCCTTCATTAACCCTCGGCATTTCAACTGTTTTCTCAACTCCAGCCAGTTAGAAAGGAAATAAAGCACAATGGTAATACCTTCAAGACCACAGGTCTTTAACACTATGTCTAGCCTTCCAAGCATGGGAGGGGAGCACATGGCCTTAAGACATTTCCAAGAGTCAAATATTATTCATCAGCATTCCAAAGAGCTTCCCCACCCGCCCTACCCTTCCGTTGGAAATGTTAAAAACACCCACAGTTTTCTTGCAACCAGTCAAATGTCTTGAGCCAAGACCGAAAATATGATACACAATTAAATAGAAAAACATACTCAATAACCATCTCCTTATAAAAAAATAATAGTCATTCAGCAAAACAAGTTACATAATTTCAATCAGTTGGCATTATAAGAAACAATGTAAGAAATTAAAGCACTAATAGAGAAATCAAGTCACAGAGAGCAAAGCAAGAAAAGAAAAGCAGCTCTCCAAATCTTTGCCAAAAGCAATTCTGATTAACAGAAGGGAGGGAGGGAGGCAGGGAGAGATGGGGGAAAAGTGTGAGCACGAAAGCTGCAGAACGCGATGAACCTTTTATTATTAAGCCCACAATGAGACAAATAAATGCAGCTTTGGAGGTACTACTTTGTTCAGTGGTAAGTAAATGACTGCTAACTGTGGCATGTGTACAGTGCTATGAAGAAAAACCACAGAAATGGACCAAGTAAATAACATTCCAGACATACTGCTGGCAGCATTTCGGCCATTTGGTTAAGCAAAACAAAAGTAAACTTCATGCCTTATAAACAGGCTTACAGAATGGTTTGCATTTTAAGTTTACTGTAGGTAAACACACAATAGAAGATTGTATTTCCCCCTTTTTCCATTCACTTAAATAACAGAAATGCCACATTTGGACAATCATTTCCTTTACAGAAGGATTACAGATCACTTCAGTGAAGGAAAATGTATATAAGTTAAATTTTGGCCAAAGAATACAACTTCCTACAAGGCCAAAAATAAGATTATGTGCTGCAGCAGAATTTAATTTTAGAGTCTGAGTACAGCCAGCAACTTCCTTTTCTGAGAACACCTTAAATTATTCCTTTTATGTTGTTACCTCTTAACAGCAGCTGTATCTCCAATTCAGAGTTTCATACAGCAACAGATATCACTACAGAGCAGTGCAAAGCTCCCATCTATCTTAAGACTGAACATGGTTTTGTAACATGTCCGGCACCTATTACTTTGGGGAGAAGTTTGATCCTATGTACTAGTTTTAAAATACGGATTCTCTATTTTCAATACATGCTTGAATTCCAGAAACTCTGCTCCACCCCTACTGATACCAACCAAATCTACATTTTTTTACATCATCTAGGACATGTAATGTTACTCACTGCACAGTTATTAATAAGTGTTGTTCCTAAACCACTTGATATTTCAAAAAATTGTCTATGTGAAAAAAAAAAAAGTATCAGAATTATGATTAAATTGCAATAGCGAAAACTTTTTCCTTCCTTTTTTACCAGAAAAGGAATTTGGCCCTCCTACTATTCATGTGATTTGTTATGAACAAATTATAAGGCTCGAAATCCATTGCTTTCATTGGAATTGAAAAGGAAAGAAATCCATTCATACATTAGGAACAGACAAAGGTGATTTACCTCTGCAATTACATCAAGACCTGACAAGGTGTGTGCGGTTTATAAATGTCTCTAGCTGTTGTCTTTTCAAGTCTGGCCCAAGTTTGTAATGCAGGCCAGAACAGGCTAGCTGAATGTGCTAAGGAAGATGGGAAACCTCTCCCAGTTAACAAAAAAATAAAACTCCCACAAGTCCTTCCCAGGAAGCTGGACACGTTCCCAATGGCTCTTAGAGAGAAAGAAGTTAATGGCTTGTTTTCAACAAGTATACACTGGGTTACGTGTTTAAAGCAAAAAGGTCTTATTCTGACCAGAATCACACCCTCATAACTTAGATCTTTGCATTATTTCACTGAAAGAAACTGCAAGTTCCCCCTCCCAGTTAAATTGCAGTTAGGGAATCGTTTAGTTACATCTCAATGCTGTAACTATGATACAAACACATATGAAGGAAAAACTGTGCCGCAAAGGGAAAGAAATATCTGGTGTGAGAGGCTGGATGACGTTCCAGGCGTCCAAATCCACATATGTAGATGTTCTTAATAATGGTCTCTTCCAAAAATAAAAGGTTTTCAATGAGTCCTAGGTTCTGAGCAGTAGTCTGACCAGTTGAGAGACCATACCTCCGAGAGCAGTTTTGCAAAACTCTATCTTCAGACTTACGACTTAGATGCAGGTGCTGCTTTGCACACAGGCTGCAGCAGTGTGCTATCTTTGGCTGCTCACACATAATCAGATGAGACACATAGCACAAACTTTAGCCAAATGTATGTGCAAGAACTTAAGTACAGATTTAAGATAGGAACATGAAGCTCATTTCTAACAGGCTTGTTCCACTCCTTTTGAAGTAGAAGTCTTTCTCTCTGAACACACAGGTATTTCCAGATACATTTTCTTACGTGTTTATTGAAATAACAGAGCCAAAATTATGCTTCTGGAGTCAAAAGTAGCACCCAAAATCACTATTACAGATGGAAGTTACATAATGGAAAAAAAATCATGTTTTGATAGTACTCCACATTGCTTATCTATTCCTATGTGCAAAAAGATAATAAACGGGTTAGACAGCTATTGAACTTCTAGAAAATCCCTTCTTAAACATGTAAAACGGAGCACGGGAAATATCTCTTAAAATATGTTCACAGGAACACATTAAGTTATACATTTTGAGATTACTGGAATTTGAGAAAGTGATACAATTAAACAAGAGCTCTTTGCATGCAGTTTGTGCAATCTTTCAACCCTCATTACTCCAGTGATACAAAGAAGAGTTGTGGTTTAAGCCCAGCAGGCAACCCAGAACCACGCAGCCACCTCTCTCACTTCCCCCTTTCCCCCCCTCCAGCTCCCTGAGGGATAGGGAGGAGAACAGACAGAATGTAGCTCCCACGGGTTGAGATAAGAACAGTCCAGTAACTAAGGTATAACACAAATCACTACTGCTGCCATCAATGATAATAATGATAAGGGGAATAACAAAGGAGGAGAATACAACCACTCACAACCTGCCAGCTGATAACCAGCCTGACCCAAGCAGCCAGCTAGCCCTTCTGGGTAACTGTCCCCAGTTTATATAGTGGGTATGATGTGCTGTGGTATGGAATACCTCTTTGGCTAGTCCGGGTCAGGTGTCCTGTCTCTGCTTCCTCCAGGTTTCCCCTCCTCCCTGGCAGAGCATGAGGCTCACAAAGTCCCAGGGTAAACATTACTGAGCAACACCTAAAAACATTGGTGTTATCAGCACT